AAAAAAAGATAAGGTTTGCGAAGCCTGTCCATAATAAATTTTAATATATTCGCAAGTGGCACTCTAAAAATGAAAATAATAGAATGACTGTTCGCTAAAATCATATATCGCAAATGCATGGGGTCACGTTCAAGTAATAAAATGGATTTTGAGTCGTAGTCGATCCCTCGAAGAATGTTTCTTCCAATCACACGTTAATTAATTCAATTTTAACGATAATACACACAATTTGATTTTGAAGTTAAAGACGAAAAGAAAGTGATTTTGATGTTCAATTAAAACACAAAATTACAACAATGATGAGAATTTGGATTTTAATCGAGTTGTGATTCATGATTCCACTTGACTATCACTAAACTATTTTCTCAACAAACAAATTAATAAAAATGCTCACTTGTCTTGTTAAACCCGATTTTTCTATTTTAGTTAATTACCTCTATCAAGTGAAATTAGTCATAATCAATTAGTTTAACCTACTATATCTTTATGTCAATTAAACACAATCAATAGCATTAAATATTTGTGAAAGTTTAAAAGGTTACCTATGTTGGGGGTATATCTCTATCTCCTACAAGAACCTAAGGGTTCTACCATCTCGATGTAAAATGTGCAAGAATTTCTCAATAATCGTACAAATCATTTGGCATAATCACATAGTGGTCACAATAAATGATAATGCACTAAAAACAATGGTAAAAACACGAGAACTCTTTATGCATTAACAAGTAAATATAGACATTTATATAGTTAGATCAACCTTCCTCATTCATCCCAACATCAAAATGTTTAGCCCATTGTATTTAAAAGGCACAAAGTGAAAAGATTAAAGAAATACATCACAAAAGTTGAGAAAATATAATGCGAAATACAAGACAAAGTAATAAATTCGTTCATTGGTTAGACTCTTGAAACTTGCTTAGTTTTGGTTTTGTTTTTTTCCGAAATTTGCCTCCTTTTGTGTGATATTTCCTCTCTTTTTTGCTTGCCCCATTTTCTCTCTAGGCTAGGGTTTTTAAATTTGTCCCAAGAAAGAATTGTAGAAAGTGATGTTTAAAAAGTGTAAAAACCGTCCCAATAAAATTGCAAGAAGAGTCCTTGAAGAAGTTCAAATGTGCGCACAAGTTCTCTTTTTCAAACTCAGGCGCGCGCCTGTAGAAAATCAGGCTCGCGCCTGAGCTCACCCAAGAGGGGCTAAACTAAACTACTTAGCCCTCCTTTACCTTTTCTTCAGTCTGGTCCCCAGAAATTTGCACGCTTGGTCCTCCTACTTTGATTTCATCCAACTAGTTCATTAACTTTTGAATTCCTTTTCAATCAAAACCTTCATAATTTGAAAACTCAGGTCCTTGAACTTTCTGACTTCTACATTTTATTTCCCAAAGTCTTGATTTTTGACCATTTTTGGTCCCTTTTCCTTCCTTTGCTTTTTTGTCCTCCAATTTGAAATTTTAGCCTACAAAAGCCACAATTACACAATTGTGAATAGGAATTCATTCAACTTCATCAATAATTAGTTCGTTAAAGTACTTAATAAGTGTGTAAAAACACACTTATTAATGACGTATACGACAATGTATCTATATTAAAAGTTAAAATTTTTTTTTAATTTAACATTTTATGACGTGACACAGTGATAAGTTAGTATACTGTACAAAGATTACATGAAAGATTCACTGCGTTTTGAATATCAATTAAGTAATTGTCATCAATTTAGAAGATATCAAGTGATTGAAACCAAATAAAAATTTTGTGATTCAATTAAAATTAAAATGAAGTTTAGTGAGCTAATTGGATTTTTTTCTAAAAGTTCGGTGACCACAAATAATATTTACCCAAAAAAATTAATTAGCAAAACATATAGAACATAAAAAAATTCAATGAGCTCCATTTTTAAGAATATATTTTATAAAAAATATTTTTAAAAGTGTGGGACTCAAAATAGGAATTTTTATTAGAGCTATTTGAAAATTATTTTTATTGAGACAGAGTACATTTGAAAATGAATTTGAAGAAATTAAGTTTTATAAAATGTCCCCACGGGCTCAATATCAACATCAAGTGGTGTTCCCTGAGATTCAAACTCCCTCCACTCACTCATATTCCCACCATCACCATCACCATCATCACCACCACCACCACCATCGTTGCTGCTATGACCACCGCGATGCCCCTCTCTCCTCCTCCACTTCATCATATCACTGCACCAACTCTAGATTCCTTACGAACAAAAGATTTAGAATGACAATCAGTGAGTACCCCTATTGAGGATGGAAATGTTAGCCATACGCTCAATGTAGTTTACACGTGCTTACTTTGAGTTTTTGATTTCTTGAGGATTTTGGTGGATTGATTTGAATTTTTGTTTTCTATTTTATGATTTTGATTTGAATCGACATTTTGGATAATTATTGCATTTTTTACTGTTTAATGCACTTTTTTGTCATACTCGATGAATGTGATCTTTCCACCATGTTGTTTTAAATTCATGAGTAGATGTCTCTCTTGTTTATCTTATGGTTGATAATTGATTGGTGGTAGTTTTTCAAAATTGCTGCATTTTTTTTTTCATAGCACTTTTGTCAGTTTTGATGAATATTGTGGACCTTAAAATCTGTCCAATCAAGTGGTCAATAGAATTTCGATAATTTTCCAGTCCATCTAGGCATCACCTACACGCTAGAACACGTCGTAAGGGTGCAAGAGTCTCAGACCAAGAAAAAGTACGCTAACTATTTGCAATATGATAGTCAAGTCAATTGTCGGAAGAAGAAGGATAACAGCAAGATAGATGTGTGAGGAAAATTTGGAAAGATTTGGAATAACATGTGTTGAGTGTGAAATGAACTCACATATTTATAAAGGAAGGAAAATTGGCTAAGATGGGTTGTTGAACCAGCTAAAGTATAAGAACATATTTAATTTGATCTAACACAATCCAATTGAAGTCACCAATACCAATCAGCTAATGTCGAATCCCTCCATCATGTGCATGACGAGTAATTTGTATATATAACAATAGTCCCCAAGTCTAAGTTGTACATTTATGTGTGGATCGAACTTTAAAATATAAGTTGTCAAGTAGGTAAGGGCGTACGAATTGCCTCCAAAATATGAGTTGTTGTGACCTAATGAATACTTTCAAATAGTCTCCGAGTGATGAGAACTTACATATATCCTCTGAAATATGAGTTACTTCAATAAGTTAGAACTTAAGAATTGCCTCTAAAATATGCATATGAGTCTGAATTCCCATGAGAAACAAGACTTCATAGCTAGCATTGAAAGATGTAATGCTAAGTACTTACGAACCAACCTCGAAGAGACGAGTCTTTATGGGTAGCCTTGGAAGATAACTATCACACAATGATTTATCAAAATATTGACAGCGTCTCCTCTATAATATAGATTAAATCAACCTGAAATACAATAAGGGTTTGTTTGATTCAAAGATGGAATTTGGGTGAAAAGAAAACGAATTGTAGGGAATTGAATTGTCTAGAACTTGTTTTACTGGAAATTGTCAATTAATTGTGTTTGATTAGTATAATTTTACATCTGAAAAATGTTGAAATTTTCTATCNAAATTGTCAATTAAATGAATAATTTGTTTTATAATTGGGGATATAATTTGTTTCTATTGCCAAAAAAAAGATGGAAAACCAAAAACCACCTAAAAGGTGGGAATTGAATTCAACTAAAACCAAGAAAAGGGGTCACATGTTGGCAATGAAAAGAAAACCAATTCTTGGAAAAAAAAGTGCCATCAAATATGGCAAAAGTGAGAAATGGAATTTCAATTCCATTTTCCTTGAAAAAAAAAAGGGCATATCAAACAGGCTCTAAAATATCTTCATTGTACATATTCAAAATAAATTGGGGTACATATGCCCCTTCATATACTCATGACGAAAAAGTGAAAGAATTATATATCAAACATCTCCAATATATGCTGAGAGACTATCATGTACCAGATAATATACTTACACAATTTAGAATAATAATGTGTTAGCGTAAAGCAAGTAAACATGATGATAATGTACATTAAATGACATGCATACTAACAGTAATAAAAATAGTATCCTGACATACTAGTAGTAATAATATAATGCTGCCATGATACTAGTATCATAATAGTCCTCCAAGTCCGAGCCTACCATTTATGTTAAGAAGTGGACTTCTGGAATGTAGAAGTATGTAACAAGAACAACAATCATCTCGCGAAGCGAGGCAACTTGGAAAGCGAGGAATAAATAGATTAATCATGTCGTGGAGTGAGAAATAAATTGAATAATCATCTTGTAAAATGAGACATCTCCTGAAGGGAGCAATAAATAGAGCAATCATGTTGTGAAACGAGAGAACTCGTAATGGATAAATAAAATAGAACAATCATATTGTTAAACGAGACATCTTGCAAAGGGAGAAATAAATAGAGTTTGCCTTAGTAGAATTTGAAGATAAGTTCCCTTTGGAAACAACTTTTCTCTCATGCCCAAGCGACAAAATATAAGACTTCTTACTTGACGGAGTGCCTGCCACTACAAGGAACTGAAAGATCAACTTTGTAGGTTTTGAAGATGAGTTCTCTTTGGGAACAACTTGTCTCTCTTGTCAAAGCGACAAAACATAAGACGTTTTGTATGGCAGAGGGCCGCCATTGCAAGCAATTGAGAGGTCAACTTCGTATGTTTTGCAGATGAGTTCCCTTGGGGAGCAAAAAAATATAAGACGTCTTGCATGGTGAAGTGCTTGCCACTATAAGGAATTATGAGGTCAGTTTCGTAGGTTTTGAAGACGAGTTCCCTTTCGCGAACAACTTGTCTTTCCCGGCGAAGCGACAAAATATAAAGGCCTGTTTGATACAAGCAATTTTCCTTGGAAATTGGAAAATTTTTTCCACTTTCCACAAATTGTAGTGTTTGACAGCACCAATTTGACTTGGAATTAGTTTCCCCTAGATTCTCTCACGCGCCTCATTTCCGGCTTTTAAAGGAAAATGTTTTCTTCAAGTTTTGGTGGGAATTCATTTTCCAAGTTTTTTTATTTTATTTTTTATTTTTTGGGTTTTTGGAAATTGAAAAACATTCTAGATGCAATGGTTAAAAAAAATTATCACATTTATTAACAATTTCTATGCAAAATAAAGCCAAACGAATGGTATTCGATATGGTAATTTTTTTAATTTTTTTTTTATAATTGGAACAAATTCTAGACCAAATGGTAGAAAAAATTATCACTTTTATGGACAATTTTCATGAAAAACAAAGCTAAACAGACACCAAACTTTCAACATTTTCCAGTGGAAAATTATATCAATCAAACACAATTAATTACAATTCCCAATAAAATAATTTTTAGGCAATTCAATTCACTGGAGTTCATTTTCTTTCCACATTTTCAATCAAACAGACCCTAAGACATCTTGCATGGCAGAGTGCCTGCCACTGCAAGGAACTGTGTAGATGATTTCCCTGTCTATATAGCTACTCTTGTTTCCTTGTATTTTGGAATGGCAACCAATTATTTTATCTAGTTGCCATTAATTTGCATCCTAAAGTCCTTGTATGAATAGAAACCAACTTAGACTTGTGCCGTTGGTGAATTCGCCATAGAATTTGGAATAAAAACACACCATCGAAAAGAGAGTTGATAGAATTCATCAGTGAGTAATTGCGTAAGAAAGTCATGGGGTTGAATATATTCTACTTTACCTTAAAATTTCAAATTAGTAGATAACTAAGCTTAAAAAGTTTGCTTGGAAGTTTTTATTTTATTTTATTTTTCCCACCAATTTTGATCAATATTGGGTGACACCATTTATAAGTAAAAAAAAAAAAAAATTATAAAATAAAATTTACTTTTGTGTAAAAATTTATTTATAAAAAATACTACTAATAAGTAATAAGACAAACATTCACTTATAAAATATAAAAATTAATTATGTGTAAAAATTATCTAAAAGTGCAAAATTAACTTTATAATTATAAATCTTACCTATAAGTAATAATACTAACTTAAAATTTCAAGTAAATATTTAACTTTATTTTATTTTTAAGTTAAATATATCTATATGTAAAAAAAAAAATTATAAGTAAAATATCAATCATGAGTAAAAAAAATTAATACAATTTCACTAAAGGGAATATATGTAATTTTATTCTTTTAAAAAACTTTGAGAATCGACGGATAATAAACTCTCAATCATAGGTTAGATTGTTTTAAAAATCATTATTAAAACCACTTAAAATCGGTCCGCTCATAAACGCTCAAAACTGATACTTGAAAAGAGGTCCATAACCAATACCCTAAAACTCCCAGGCTCTAAGTAAACAAGTTTGTTTTTAAAATAATTAACTTGTTTTTATTGGTGAAAATGAGAAATTAGCAATCTTTTTTACTTAAATGTAAGAAAAAAAGTAGCATACTTCTAAACATGTTTGGAAACAATAATTTACTATAAAAGTAACTTCTAGTTACATTTAAGCTCAGACATATATGCTTTTAAAAGATAGTCGGGTTTGCAGTTCATGATCCTAATGTTCTTGAGCATGTTTACCGTTTTACCTTAGCGGTTATAATGGTAACACTTGGCCGAATTACATCATTTCGTTCCATTTAATGCTACTAACCTTAACGATTATAAAGATGACTTAAGGAACATGCTACGACTTAGGCATGATGACTTCATTCAAATGTTGGAAGTGTTAAGAAAGACTCAATAGAGTATGTGCGCGATCTTTTGATCATCTAAATTTTCCACCCATCAATTTCAGATTCGCTTTTGGTTTGATTGCCTTCAATCCTCATCGCTTTCAATCTTGATGGCAGATGGTTTATAAGCAGCCTTTGAGAGTCCCTTCCTGGTGTAGGAGTAGTTCTTAGTGCCATTTCTTCAATCCCAGTAATCATTATAGGAAATATTGTAATTTCTCTCCCCTTTCTTACTTCTCTTGTTCATGTCATTACCTTTTCTAGTTAGGAGGGATATTTCCTTATATTTTAGAAATATGAAAAGAGTTTTCAATCGACGGCTTTCTATTGAGAAGATGTTTAAATCCTAGATAATTAAGAGAGAGATTTGAGCTGGCTAAACCAAACTCTTGAGCCAATGAAATCTCTTCGAATATAGCGATGACACATGCTATAAGATTGAACACTATAGCTTGACAAGATTAGGACTACAAATTCCACTCTCGTGACCTGTATAAGAGGGAATATGCGGAACAAAATGGGTCGAGCTGAGTGAATTTTCTAAATATATTTAAGAAAACTTTTTGCAATACCATAATCTCTTGAAAGCAATACTCTATTTCTATTAAAAAAATAAAATTAAGTTGATTTAAAAGTATCAAATCTTTTTTTTATTTTTTGGTTCCATTTCCATTGGGATCGATCCGTTAAATTTTTAGACATGGTCTCTTAAGTTTAAAACTACCGAATATTACCCAAAAATCTTTGAAATTATCCATTTCTAAATTTACAATCGTAGCCTTAACATTTGACCTGATTTGAACTTTTATTCTCTATTTTTATTCCTTAGGGTGTATTTGATGAATATTATTGAAAAAAAATATTTTAAATAGTGATATGATGAGAAATATGTGATTAAAAAGTAAGTAAAAGTTATTGATGTGATAAAAAAATGTGTGATTTAAAATAAGTTTTGAAAGAAATATTTTTAAAGAATTTGCCGCACACGGGGGCTTATAACAGCTTTTATGCCGCGATACAAATGAATACGGATTTGGGACCCACCTGAAATGCGTGCATTTTCAGTTTTCTTCTTCGATGCACCTCAATAGACCGTCAGTGACACTGAAGAAACCCCACACTGAGCATTTGCCGTTTTCATTTCAGAATTCTAGGCGTCGTTGTCTCCGGTGAGATTACCAGCCGGCGGTAGTTCCTTTTTTGACTTGCGAGTCGGCGTTCAGTTCTCAGTTTCTATTTATTTTGTATGAACAAATATCTCGTCTGCTTTTCCCCCATTCTATATGGTGTGGTTTTGCATGTACTGGTGGAGTCGACATGGAATGCACAGAATAAAGGCATTTCTTTCCTTTTTTAGCCGTGCTTCTGAGTCAACTCAGTCTCGACCCTTGTTTCAGTATTTTTACTCGGTTCTTACTTTTTCTCATTTGTGTAAAAACTTAGAAAATGAAGGGAGACCATAAGTGTACATTTGACATTTTATTTTTCTGTTCTTACTTTACTTTGTTTTGAGTTTCTTCTGTGAGACTCTGCCCTGTTTTCTATAAAGCTCATAGAATAATTAGATCTTTGTTTGGGTTTTTTGTTGTTGTATTTTTCTTTTTCATTTTGTTGTGCTGACTGTAATGTTTTCTCTTTAGGGTTGAATGGACGACCATTTTCAAATTTGAATATTAAGGCTGTTTAATTTCAGTATTTTGATTGCTTAGGCAACCATTGATTCTTTCTTTTTTTGATTTGTGCAAAAAACTTGGAAAATGGAGGAGATATCTTAAGTACATTTGACATTTTATTTTTCTGAAGCGATAACTTTTTAAAATTTTACCTTCAAAACAAGGACCTTTAGAAACATATGCCCTTAGAACTGGCACTTTATGCTTTTTTGTTCCATTAAACCATTACCAAAAGCAACCGATGTTGACTATATCTATGTCTAGAGTATGTATATAAACAAGCATCCTTATCTGTTTCCTTTTGGCTTCATTTTTTATTTTTTATTGTGATTCGACTTTAATTTATAAAATCTGCAGATCACATTTCTGTTTGTTTAATATTCAGAATCTGCATTTTGAATATTTGAGGTGTAGAATTGATGTATTTGATAGAAGAGTAGCTTGGTTGATTTGTTTTGTTGTGATCTGTAACATACAACGTATTTAGGCCCCTGCTGCCATTTGGCCTGTGGGAGGTTATGTACCCCCTTTTCCTGAACATCAGTTTACTTTCTGCTTATGATTAATCAAGCCTAGCCCCTCATAGCTAAGATGTGGCTTCTTTTACTTGTAGTGCAAATGCAGCATATTTTCCTCTTAATGGCTCTCAGAATTTCCAGCTGACTAACATTATAAAAATGTATTGATGGGTAGATTTATTAAGAATTATTTTTATGCAGGACTACTTAACTTCTGTTTCTCTAAATCCAATCTTGTAGAAGGAAAATATTGCAATTTCTGTTGCTCATTAAAGGTTTTTTAGTGGTTAACTGAGATTGCTTGTGTTGGTTTCGAATAATTGTTGTTTGTGTTTATCTTGCTGGCCTTTCCCTTTTTGTGTAACATATCTTAAATTCTTGATATTAAGTTTAAGTTGAATTGCTCTAAGCTTGATTAAGTTTCTGACTTGCAACCTGATGCTTCTTTGTTGAACCATGCTATGTTCGGACCTGTAAGTTATTATTATTATGCGCTCCATGCAGCGGTAGGTACTCTCTTTACATTAGTTTGAGAGAGTCCTGTTAGCACATTGATAGGTGCGCCTGCCTCTGATACAGCTGAGCACAAGAAAACTGTGATCAAGGAGCAAAGATCAGGAATAAGATACTATAATGAAGCTCAACACAGGAAATGGAATTAATGATAACAAGTTTATTGAAGATTGAATAACAAGATCAAACAATGCCCCCTCTCACATTTCCCTCCATCACATTTTATAGACATTCTCCTATCTCTATTACTCTTTTACCCTCTTAGCTAACTAACTTGGTGGAATATTCTGGAATGATGGCTGACTTGGCTGCCTCACTTCTTTCTTTCCTCTTCTTGCGTAAGTGAATTGTTAGGGGGTCTACTACACATTATATTTCCAATATTGATCAAACTCGTGAGCTACATTGTTTTCCCTGAATGTCACCGCTTTTTGTTGAATTCTGTGGTAATCAATGATTCTACAAGCAAGAGGGTTCTGCACATTATGTGAATTATTTGGAACTCAGAAATCAAAAGATGAATTATTTGGATTCAACTTTCAGTCTGTGGTAGTCAGTGCAGTGCTGCAAATTTTTTTTTTTACTGTAAAATTTTCTGAATCCAATGAGGTGTTTTCTTATCTACTGATATATTTCTTATGGGTGATTTCCCTTTTCACCATTGTGTGTTGTTGTAGTTAGTATTTTTATCAGATTTTTCTTGTAATCATTCTATGCTTCTTATTGTTAAGTTAGATGGGAAGCAGCTCAGATTCGGAGTCAGATATCAGTGATTCAGAGATTGTGGATTACTCGAAGAAACCTTATGAGGGACTAAAGTCTGGGAGATATAAAGTAAAAGGCCCAAATGGCATCCTTAAGTGTCCCTTCTGTGCTGGGAAGAAGAAACAAGGTTACAAGTATAAAGACCTTCTTCAACATTCAACTGGTGTGAGCAAAGGTGCATCCCACCGAAGTGCAAGGCAGAAGGCAAACCATCTTGCTCTAGCAAACTACTTGAATGATGAACTTTCTGATGGGGCCGAACAACACCCCCAGCATGTGGTTACTCCTGATCCTGCCGATGACTCTGATCAGANGAAAGATGAACTTTCTGATGGGGCCGAACCACAACCCCAGCATGTGGTTACTCCTGATCCTGCCGATGAATCTGATCAGACTGAGTTATACTGCTGGCCTTGGACTGGGATTATTGTTAATATTCACAAGCGGGAATATGGAAAAGATTTGACTAGTAGTAGCTACTGGTTGAAGAAGTTCTCCAACTATAAACCTTTGGCGGCTGAGCTTTTCTGGGATGACGAGGAGTGTATCGCAAAGGCTGTTATAAGATTTGATAATGATTGGAATGGTTTCAAGAATGCAATGGAGTTTGAAAAATTCTTTGAAGCTGATGACCACAGTAAAAAAGAATGGGGTGCTCGAAGTAGGTCACCTGGTTCAAATATTTATGGCTGGTTTGCTCGTGATGATGATTACAGGTCAGAAGGGACAATAGGAGATTATCTGCGTAAGACGGGGAAGTTGAAGACAATATCTGACGTGGTCCATGAAGCAACACAACACAGAAATAATGCTGTGGCTAATCTTGCGAATGAGCTTGACTTGAAAAATGACAATCTGGATCAGTTGCAGGTCAGGTATAATGAGAAGACACTGTCACTTAGCCGGATGATTGCAGAAAAAGACATGCTACACCGTGCTTTTTCCGAAGGTTGTCGTTTGCCTCTCCGTTCTTTTGTGCCTCTGCTTTTTTCATTTTCTTTTTGCATTTTATGATGAACCACTGCCCAAGTGTCTATATTTTCTCATGGTGTTGTAGAAAATAAATATACCCAGCTAGATTAAAATTCTTCTAGTTTCGAGATGTTGTGGCTGTCAATTTTGATGGATATTCACTCATTGGAGCATGTCTTTTACATCTTCCAATGAGATTCTACTAGTCAAATTCAACATGCGTAATAGACTTTTATGGGCCTCTCTGGGGTTAGTATAAATTGATATAATACAGCAATAAATATTCATCAACTGGTTGATGCTAATTGGAGATTCAATAGCAATAGATATTTATCAACTATCTTATTCCACTGAATTATGTTTTATTTTTAATAAGCTATGATGTTCACTAACATCCATCAAAAATTCCTGTCAGAAACAAGGAGGATGCAACGAATTGCAAGGGAGCATGTGCAAAGGGTATTGGATGAACAGGAGATGTTGAATATGGAGTTGGAGAACAAGAGGAGACGACTTGATACCTGGAGCAAAGAATTGAATAAGCGCGAGGCTTTAACAGAACGAGAGAAGCAGAAGCTTGAAGAGGAGAAGAAAAAGGTAATTTGCTTTTCGTGCAATAACGCATGTATTTATGGAGACCCTTCCAACTGTGTCCGCTATGTTATTGATCTCTAACATTTACATGTTCAAATGTTATGGCTTTTATCCTTAGAAAAGCAAACAACAGAAGCAAGAGCAATCAATTTTTATTTTTTTTGCTGAGCTCAATGCAATGATTAATTTAGACTATGATATGATATTTTCTCTCTTTGTTTGTGCATCTATATTTCCTATCATTCTAGTAATAAATGAACTTCTCAGCTTTCTGTTCATCCCAGTATAGTACTTGCCGGTAGAATTCATCACTTCTCTCCTAAATTTTTCATTTTTTTCTGTTGGTAAACAAAATTGCTATACAGGCTTATGCAAATCATTATAGCTATAGAATCATCTTTAATTACTATTGTTGAGTAAAGTACATGCATGCAGCAATTGTTTCATTTGAACTTTTTGTACTACAGAATGATGTGAGAAACAATTCACTTCAAATGGCTTCTGAGGAACAGAAAAGAGCTGACGAGAATGTCCTCAGGCTAGTTGAAGAACAAAAGGTGTGTCCTTTTAGAATGATGTTTTTTTCCCGTCCCGGACACGCTTTCATGCTTAAACTACATACGCCTGACATATCTACCCTGTCAGTGATTATGGTGCCATTTCTTGCTTTGATTTACTCTGGTATCAAATGTGCAGAGGGAGAAGGAGGAGGCTCTGAAAAGAGTTCTTGAGCTTGAAAGGAATCTGGCCGAGAAGCAGAAATTGGAAATGGAAATTGAAGAACTGAAGGGGAAACTAGAAGTGATGAAGCATATGGGAGGGGAAGATGATGCAGCTGTCCAGAAAAAGATAAAGGAGATGAATGAGCAACTGGAAGAGAAGATTGAGGAAATGGATGGTCTCGAAGATTTAAACAATCAACTCCTCACCAAAGAGCGATCTAGTAATGATGAGCTGCAAAAGGCTCGCAAAGAATTAATAGAGGTATGATTTATGACATTGTTTTAATGGTATAGAAAATTGATGAGATCAGTAGTAACAATTTGAAGAATTAGAACCACATTATGGCATGGAATCATTGAATGAAACTCTTCTTGCCAATGAGCATTCAAGTAATGATGAGCTACAAGAAGCTCATTAGGAATTAATAGCATATGGAAATTTTCAGCAACAGCAAACGAAATCTTATTCCTCATAAAGTTGGAGTTGTCTATGTAGAAAAACATGCTAAACCAAATTATTGTCAAGGGTATTGCTTGTAATGATATAATGAACTATAAGTTGTTTTAAAGTGGTACAACTGTCATAGAACTGTTTACACTACAAAAGACCACTCATGCTGCGTATTGAGCGCTAGGTTTATTTTTATTTTATTTTTTCTGGTGTCTTGGGGGATTTTTGCAGGGTGGTTTGGGCAACATCTCATTTTATCCCCGAGTGTGATGATGAGATATCTTGAAAAAAATCAACCAATCTATTATTGGGAAAGAAAGTAATCTCATGATCCAAGTGTTTTTAGTTGACAGAAATGTAGTCATGATCCAGGTCGTTTAACCTGGATTCTTACTTCATGCTATGATTCTGAGCAAATAGAAGGAAATTTACTCTTTGTTATGCAATGACTGCAATTTGCTTAATATATGTTCAGGGCTTGAATGATATGATGAGTAGCAGCCGTGTAAACATTGGGATAAAGAGAATGGGCGAAATTGATGAAAAGGCCTTTCTAAATTCATGCAAGGAAAGATTTGCGCCTGAAGAAGCTGAGATCAAGACTTTAGAACTTTGTTCCCTGTGGCAGGAAAAACTGAAAAATCCGGAATTTCACCCTTTTAAAATTATACCGGTTGATGGGAAGCACGAGGTGACTTTTATTATTAGAGCTTCATACCTGATCTAATTGTTTCATATAACTGAGAGTTTGTTTGCAAGAGAACCATTTCAAAACGATACATGTTAAGATCGGAGTAAATTTGGCAGGAAGTGCTGGACGAGGATAATGAATCACTACACGAGCTCAAGGATGAATGGAGTGATGAAATCTACAATGCAGTCACAACAGCTTTGAAGGAATTGAATGAATATAATCCAAGTGGACGGTATGTGGTTCCTGAACTATGGAACTACAAGGAAAACAGGAAGGCCACACTCAAGGAAGTTATCAGTTATATCTTAAAGCAAGTAAAGACACTCAAGCGCAAGAGATAGATGAAATTCAGGTGGCTCTCTCTCCCCCCTCTTGCACACATTATATTGATGATAATTCTTTACTCAGTTTCATCCTAGCTTTAGTGTTTAGAGTTAGAATTGCATCAGAGAGCTTCATTTGTTGTTCAATATGGTGCACTGATCAAATTTTCCGTTTTCCTTTATGTTTATGGTGGTGATGTAGGGTGCAGACAAGGATGAAAAGGTTGGAAACACTGACAGCGTAGAAGATCTTTCCAAAATNGCACTGATCTAATTTTCAGTTTTCCTTTATGTTTATGGTGGTGATGTAGGTTGCAGACAAGGATGAAAAGGTTGGAATCACTGTCAGCGTAGAAGATCTTTCCAAAATGTTTATATTTTGTGCATACTTGACTAGCGTGTCTTGACTTTTAACTCAATCAAATCCTCAGACATGTTGGATGTTACTCTCAATTCCATAGTATATTATGGTGATGATGGTTTCGTAGTAGTCAGACAATGAATTAAACGTGTGCACAACATGCTTCGATTTAAACTAAAAAAAATTTCTACAATTTAGTAAGGGACAATTCTGCCCATGACACGGTTTAGCCTTGTATGAATACAAGGAGAATGTTGCCCTTGTCCCATGTTAATGGCTTTTAGTTTATGGCCGGGCTGCTGATTGAGAAATCACAGTTAATTATAAAAACATTAAATTAGAATGATTTAATTCCCATATTGGAGGATCCGAGACAACATGTCAACTGGTTGGCTCAGTTTGTCCCTATCATTAAAATAATAATTATTTTTTACTCAAACTTTTATTAATAAACATCTTGATTGTCTTATGCCAAATTTGTAATTTACTCTTTCGTATTATTGTGAATGAGAATGTGCTTTCTAAATCTAGAATATCTCCAGCCTTTAATGATTTTGTAACTGCCCTTCTTCAAAATACTTGAAAAAGATTTCTCTTTCGAGTTAATTGACAAATGGACATTGAAATTTGTAAGTAATTTCAAAATGATCACTAAACTAATTTTTTTGTCCCATTAAATCATTGGAGTATACAACGGTTTCACAAATAATCTCTCATTTAGAAAAATGAAAGTAAAATCATGCGAATTACTATTAAGTGCCTCGGTGAACCACTGAAAACCATTGTAAGTCATTTAATAATTGTCGTGCTTCTATCTTACTTGTTTGCGTCAAAAATGGTTTATCTAAAAAACTGTTTAATGCCATATCTAATATATTATTTTTTGACAACACTTTGCCATATTCTCAATTATCAAATTACAATTTAGAAGCAAACGCAATGTTCATGTTCACCATCTTGTCAATGTCACACCACCGTAAAAATTAAAATGACCAATAAACCTGAAAATAAACATGTAATGTCAATACAGTTTCTTCTTACCAGGCCTAAATACCATATATTCCCAACGTCGATGTCATCAAATGTATGCATCATTTTTCACT